GCACGCCAGGGTGCACATGCCCGTCAGGCTGCGCATGCCCATCAGGGTGCATGTGCCCATCAGGGTGCATGAGGCTGCACGTGCCCATCAGGGTGCAGGTGGCCATCAGGGTGCACGTGCACACCAGGATGCATGTGCACATGAGGCTGCCCGTGTATGCCAAGGTGCCCATCAGGATGCACATGCCCATCAGGGTGCACGTGCACATGAGGGTGTCCATGTATGCCAAGGTGCCCATCAGGGTGCACGAGGCTGCAGGTGCCCATCAGGGTTCACGTGCCCATCAGGATGCATGAGGCTGCACGTGCCCATGAGGCTGCATGTGTCCATCAGGGTGCAGGTGCCCATCAGGCTGCACGTGCATGCCAGGGTGCATGTGCACATGAGGGTGCCCGTGTATGCCAAGGTGCCCATCAGGGTGCACAAGGCTGCAGGTGCCTATGAGGCTGTAGGTGCCCGTCAGGGTGCACATACCCATCAGGGTGCACGTGCCCATCAGGATGCACGAGGCTGCATGTGCCCATCAGGGCACACGTGCACACCAGGGTGCACTTGTCCATCAGGGTGCACGAGGCTGCAGGTGCCTATGAGGCTGTAGGTGCCCATCAGGGTGCACGTGCCCATCAGGATGCACGAGGCTGCATGTGCCCATCAGGGCACACGTGCACACCAGGGTGCACTTGTCCATCAGGGTGCACGAGGCTGCACATGCCCATCAGAGTGCACAAGGGCGCATGTGCACACCAGGGTGCAGGTGCCCGTGTATGCCAAGGTGCCCATCAGAGTGCACGAGGCTGCAGGTGCCCATCAGGGTGCACATACCCATCAGGGTGCACATACCCATCAGGGTGCACGAGGCTGCATGTGCCCATCAGAGTGCACAAGGGTGCATGTGCACGCCAGGGTGCAGGTGCCCGTGTATGCCAAGGTGCACATGAGGGTGCACAGGAGCACACAGGCCCGCCAGGGTGCCGGGCCCATCCCCAGGGCACCCATGGGTGCCGCCTGGGATGCACCGCGCTGCCCTCCCTCCCCGCAGCGACAGCGCCGAGGCCGAGGCCACCCTGCACGACAACGCGGTGCAGCTCGGTGCCACCATCCGCTACGAGCCCGACCTCTTCCTCTCCAGGTAGGGCCGGGGCTCGGGGGTCTTTGCAGTGCCAGGGTGGAGGGTGCCAGGGCTGCTCCCACCCTGCTCTCGTCCCTGCAGCGATGCCACCCTGCACCGCTACGAGGTGCAGCCGCGCGGCGCCCACGGCCCCGGGCCCGAGTTCAAGACCACGGTCAAGGTGAGGGCGGCGGCGCCCGGACGCCTGGGCCCACCCCGCGGCGGCTCATCCCCCTTCTGGCCCAGGTGCAGAATCTGGGCTGCTACGCGGTGCGAAACGTCACCCTGCGCATGGCCCTGCCGGCGTTCGGCTACCGCGGCGCCGCCTTCCTCTCCGTCACCCGCGTCATCGCCGGCAACGTGAGTCCCTGCCCGCGGCCGGGGGGGACAGGGGAGCGTCCCCGGTGCTGG